CGCTGCGGATGTGCGCTGCGACATGGAAAATACTGGGGACTTTTCCCTACCACGATGCAAACTCTTAAGCCTTGTGAAGCTCACACACCGTCAAGTGTGGCAACATACAGCAGCCCTGCGCCCTACACAGGCATTGATCGAATGATGCAGCCAAGCCACGCAACCTGAAAGCAGAAGCACATCGCCATCACGCACCCAAAAATAATTTGGGAATATGTGGGATGTGTGCCGTTCCGATAGTCAGGTGTCGACAAAGTCTCTTGAAGTTACATGCTCGCCAAATCCGGTTCGCTTCACTTGCCTTCGTTCAGCCAAAAAACGGAGACATGGAGCACTCTTCTGCTGCCACATGACCATGGCATGGAAATGCAGAGGGTCGGAATTACTTTTCGCAGCCGAATGCTCTCCCGATGTGCAGCAGGCAGGTCCAACAAAGCACTACAAAGCACAACTGCGTGTGGAAGCCCTAAGGGACGCTGACCCGCGGTGACACTGGCATCTGAGCTGCATTTGCAGCTCAGCTGCTGTGAAGATCTCTCGTCGAAAGCCAGGGCCACGTGCCGCATTGAGACTCGGCACCGGCAAAGAGCCGAAGAGTGAGGGGCTTCTGCTAGATAGGACAGGGATGGCGGCCGGGACGGCCTGGCAGGGAAACTGAAACCTTCGCACGTCTGACCATGCCTCCGTGCGAAGCGCTCCGGGGTTAGAAATTCACCACGTCGGACTGGCGAGAACTCACCCGGTGCTGTGACACCGTCGCTTCACTGGGCATGCTCAGCGGCGGCTGAGCCCTGCACTACACCACGAAGCTTGAATCCCTCTGTGTTGTGGATCAAGTTTCCAGGAAAAGGTTGTGGTGTCTGTTGTATGGCAGGGAGGGCCATGATCCAAGCATGTCCCGTCGACATTATCCTTTTTGCAACAGTCGCGGCAAGTCACAGAAGAACAGCAAACACCGGCTCTAACATGTCGTGAGGTCCTATAAAGCCTGAAGACCGGTTCCCAAAGCATCAAATCAAGCGGTCACCAGCGCCCTTTAAGTCCCCAAGAGCCCCTGCCGTCCTCAAGGCTTGGTAGAGGATCTCGCGAGCATCCTGGGAAAGGGCTCTGACAGCAGCGGGAAAAGCAGAGCTGCGGAATCCAGGGACCCCACCTGCTGGTGAAGCTCGTAGACACCGAGCTGTGGAGGAGGCGGTGCCCTCAGGGCAATGGACTGATGTCTAGGAGTCTAGGCCTACTTAGCCTACTACTTCTCCAGTCTTTTCCGGGGCCCGCTGCGGCTGCACGTCCTGTTCGCCCTCAGCCTCAGGCCGGGCAAGTGCCGCAATGTGCCGCACATAGCGCCCTCCGCCCTCCAGGGCACGGAGCCTCCGTGGCGATGAGCAGGGAGCTACTAGAGCGCTGCTCGAAGACCACCTGCGCGACAGGTCAGCTAACTGCCCAAGCTGCTTACACTGTTTTGCACACGCTTGCACAAGCTTGGACACAGCCTGCACCTTCTGCACCTTCTGCCCTGAGCCAATTGTATATGTAACACGGCTGCCCGCTGACGTGTTTTAAGCACTTTCGGTCTTTACCGACTTCTCGTCTTTCTGCGCGGCGACTGGCGTGGTCGGCGCATTGGCGGAGCCGGGGAGATTGGAGGGTGTCCGTGGTGGAGCACCTGGAGTGAGCGGTGCCCCTGCGGGGGTGAAGGGCTGCGCTTGCGCTGGGGTGAAAGGTGCAGCGAATGCTCCGAAGGGGGTCGATGGTGCGCCGGCTCCGCCGGCTCCGGCTCCAGCTGCCCCTCCTGGGGTGAAGGGGTTGATGTTCGGAGTGGACGCTGCGGGGCCGGCGAGCCTCAGCAGGCGCGGCCAAAACCCCGTCCTTCCGGTCCAACCGGTCCTACCGGCTACGGCATGTCATGCATTGCATGGTCCACTAATGTCCATTACTGAAGTCACCAAGCAGGTGCGGACCAACTGCAAAGCCGCAACCTCCAGGATTGACTAACTCACGATATGCATCCGAGCCCGAAATCTTGGCCTCTCTGCGCAAACTATGATCAAACCCTCCCAACCCCCAAAACCGGAGAAGCCCTTCAGACGTCCTCAGACCAAACCGTAGCCTCAAACAGCTTTGCTGGGAGCTGGGCCCCGGAGGCGTCATGGATCCCTTGACGCCCTGGCACACAATGGAGTGAAATTTCACGGCTCAAGATGTTTCGAGGTCAGGCCTCGAAGAATGATCTACTATTATCTTCAAGTATCTTGTATCACCTTGTGCCATCGCATATTATCAATTATGGTACTAACTCCTACATCGATACCATGAATATATACATATATATATATATACATGTACATATTCACACATACACACACGCACACACACACACATACATACACACACACACACTGTCATGGGGCCTGCGTTTTTGCAAACCACGCTTTCGCACTTTGGCATACTTACTCGTCATGTTGGATTGCTTTGCACGCTCCCCCGCAGGCAAGGAAGGCCCTCTGGAATGTCCGAAAACCCTTAAACACTCCTTAGCCCCTCTATCAAATTAAAATACTAACAAAAGCCAACCAAACCAACTAAAGCCTCAAACAAAACCAAGAAATCAATAAAACATATTTCAAAAACACAATGATTTCCGGACTAGTCTGAAGGATTTCGACTAGAGTGCAAATGATGTTTTTTGTTATGTTGGTTTCTTTGTGTTGTTTGGTTTTTTGGCTTTTGCCATAGCTGACGAAGCCGGACAACCTCACGATGTGGCTGTTCTTTTGGGTTTAGGGTCTACTTACACACGACTACTGTTGTCTAATCTACTTTAGGCTATGCCTATAAGCAGTCCGACTGCCTATCTGTCTATCTATCTATTTATCCATCTGTATATGATATATGCATACACATACTTGTCTAAGCATGGATGAAGTCACCGACCTCGTAACCTGTGTACATACAGACTGAGTAGAACCCTGATGCAGTGCATACTACGGAACTGTACAAAGCACATACGTATATGCTTTCGCCAATCGGCAGTAATACAGCTGTGCGTTGTTGTGGGGCACTTCATAGCAAGCCATTGGGTCACACTGAAATACTGAGATACTACAATACAAACTAAACTGAGCATTCACATACACACACACACAGAGCCCTCAACGGTCAAGGCATAGGGGAACAGAACACGGAAAGTGGGAACTGCACGCGAGATCACCGGGTGTTGAAGCTGTAGAATAAGCCGGAACGATGTAAGAAGTGCTTGCTTCAAGTTTATGGCGTTCCTTCCTTTCGCTTACAAGCCGCGTCGTATCTGCGTGCGCTTTGTATCGTGGTAGTAGAGCATACCATAGTGCAAGCACATCAACAGTACATGCATAGGCTTGCGCGTGTATGTATCCCTGAAAGAGTAAAGGAAGGTAGAGCCGTGTTTCCGTGTGCAGTGTTGCGAAGCCATAACAAAAATGTGTATATGTGTCCCCGACTTGCAGAAATACAGTCTTGCGATAGCCACTGTGGCTGCATATTGTTGTGAGACACCTCATAAACAAGTCATACTGCCATAGTGAAATACTACAATGCAGACTCAACTGAGTACTCACACAAAGACACAGACCTTCGCCGAGTCAGGACATAAGGGCAAGTCGGCTCTGCACCCTAGATTACCGGGTGTTAAAGTTGCAGAATAAGCTGGAAAGTTTAACGAGGCAACTGCTTAAAATGATTCTTTCTGTCGTTTTGCTTCGAAGTGGCGGCTTATTGTATTCTGGTAGTAGGGCCTAAACGGTAATGCAAACACGAAACACATGTACGGGCTTGTGCAATGATGCTTGCGTGCATGTGTAGCAGTAAGAATACACATGCCTGCGCATTCAAGCGTACATGCATGTACATATACAGCATTATGCATAATGTTACACCAATGTGAGCAATGCATGCGCACATGGCAAAATTCCATTTGACACGAAGAAACACAAGACTCAAAAACCCAGGCCCCATGGCAGCCTGCTTTGTGTATGTGTATACATACATATATATATATACATATAGATATATATATATATATATTGCTTGCTTTACCTCTCTCTCTCTGCTACACCCCCTCTCTCCTTGGGTGTTTGGCGGAGGAGTAACCCGCAGTCAGGATTCAAACGCCCGAGCAACCTCTTTCTTTACATAAAACTTAGACAATGCTGGACCCCTGGTCTAATTTCCAGCAGGTGCTTGGCATGGGAGAAGCAGATGCACTGATACACCACTCGTATCAACATCAGCGTCATTAAAGGAGTATTCAACCAAGTAAATTTGAAGTACTGGGTTGAAGGGATGTAAGCAAAAACTAACAACATATGAACGAAAGCTACGTGTAAGCCACGAAAATATTTCGAAGAAGTCTTCATAGATCTGTTTGCCACTTATAATACATTGGATTATAATTGGCTCAATTTTGCTACCTGGATTGGCGTGTCCTTACAACTTTTCTTGTTTGGGGTACTGGCTTTGCAGGAGAACATGTGCTTGAATCTACCAAGATGCCACGTCCGTGGAGTAGTAGGACAAGCTACCGTAAAACCGCACATTGGATTTCATACAAACACATATATAGCTTGAACGCTCAGTAATACCACATTCATCGTCATTTATGGATAATATGGGCTGGATTACATAGCTTTCGGCATGAGTGACAACAAGATTCATGCGTGCGTGACATGGGTTCTCATCATGTCGTTTGCATGAGCCTTGTACAAGACAGATGCAATGTCGCAATACTAGCTACAGCGACAGGAGCATTAACAACACCATTAACAAGAATAGCCGTCATCGCCACCGGAAATATCATCTTTGTCACATACGAATCGAAACAGCTTTTTCCATGTTGCAACTAAACCAGCAAAACCACAAGGCCACAGATTCGCTAACAAGGGCAATGATGTTGTTTGGGTATTGAAGCAACAGAGAGGGAGAGACAGATAGATGGCTAGATCGATAGATGGATAGATCGATAGATGGACAGATAGATAGATCGATAGATAGGTAGGTAAATAGGTAGCTAGATAGATAGATAGATGGATAGATAGTGAGATAGATAGATAGACAGATAGACAGACAGACAGACAGACAGACAGACAGACACACACACACACACAGACAGACAGATAAATAGAGAGGTCTGTGTATGTATATACATACATATAAAAGGTGTGTGTGTGTATATATATATAGAGAGAGAGACGTACATATACATATACACAAACCAGAACACACATACATACATGTGTATATGTAATTGTGTGTATATCCATCCATCCATCAATCCATCCATCCATCCAAATACTATGCGCACCCTAAATTGGCACAAATCGCTAGGCCCGATAGGCAAGAACAAGAGATGTCGACTTGCACTGCTTCGGGAGCCTGTGCCGGGGTAGGAGGAGGAGGTCCGGCCGGGGTGCCGGATGCCCGCGCCTCAATTTGGATGTTTATTTTTCTCCACCATCATTTGTTTGTTCAACGGCCCTTCGGCCCTTTTGTAGGCGATGTCTCGAACATCCCGGCCCGGCCGAGAAGGCCACAGAGCATCTGAGTTTCCGGGCCTGGAACGGCGGTGTGCCAGCACCTCTGTGCGCTCCCCTTCTGGCCGCTCACTTGACTTGGATTCTGTTGTAAGAAGCTGGGTGCAGGAAGTCTTGGGCAAAACTCATAATGACCTGTACCAAACAGTGTTGAGGTGGGCAGCTGAGCAGCCGGCTGGGCATTCCATGCATTGGCCTGGATCTGGAAACAATAGAAAGGCTTTCGGTGGGCTCGGAGGTCAGTTGATGAATGCCAGAGGACGGGCACGTAGGTGCATCTGAGGTCGGCCTAGCTGGTGTGCCGACTGTTCGGTATTGAAAGACTTCACGTGCTTAACGTAATGCACAAGTGCAACCCCAGAAAACACTTCCGCCCCTACCTGAGGAGCACACCCAGTCGGCGTCTCCGGCGGAGGCTTCCTGGCTTCTCGCTGCTAGCAATCGACGAACTCTTTTTCTGTCAAGGTTTCTATTGCAAGACGGTCACGTGTAGCGCAGAACTTGCACATCCTTGTGACTTGCTCAGTCCCTCCTCCTCCTCCTCCTCCTCCTCTCGGCATGCGTCGCTACTATCTTTACTCCCCTTTGACCCATATGAGGTGTAAAGCAATATGTCGGAATCTATATCTATATCTCTATCTGTATGTTTGTACATATTTATTTTTGCAAATATACACACTTCTGTTTTGACAGGTTCTTGTATAAGAAAATAATCCAAAAAACAATAAACGCAGCCCACGGCGTGGACAGCAACCAATGCAAGGCTTCATCTCGTGCGGGGTCATACTTCGCATTGTCGCGAGCAGCAGCAGGAAGGTGTATGTATGAAAAAAATATATAGGCACATATAGGCTTACAAAACAGGCTGATTAAAGCTCACGGAACAAGCCCGTATTCGGAAGCCCGCAAGTTCTCTTGCGACCTGTGCCGTGCTGTGCTCAGCCAGGGCTACAGGGCGGCACCAAACGTGCGGCAAGCACCATTGCGGAGTGTTGCCCTCAGACTTCTCAAAGCCGGAAGCATACCTTCGTCAAGGCGCTCTTCCGATCTACTGCGGCAAGGTTCCCGTCGATAGAAACTGAGGCGCCGTGCTCCGGCATATGGAAAGGCGTGCGATTTCCACCGGGGGTCAGGTTCCTGCACAGGAAACCAAACCAAACCTCAAAAGGGACCCCCGATCCTGGCACCCGCACTCAGGGCCACACCCGGCCAAACCCGGTGTGCCAGGATTCAATCCTGCCGAAGTCTTCCGCTCGTGGGAGTTTGGGCTTCATGGCTTGCTGGGGCTGAGGGTAAATAACGATGAGAACGATGCAACATAGTGCCCTCTGCCTCATACCTTTGCATATTCCTTTTTCCAAGGACGTGCAGGGTGATCGCTGGAACCAGCACGCGACTTGCGCAATCCAGCCCTGCTCATGCCTGGTGTCATACCGCCTGCAACTCCAGGTGTCATGGCCTGTGGTTGGAACTGACGTTGCAGACTCCAGAAACGATCAGAATCTAGAAAATCCACACATGGCAAGGGGGAAAAAGCAGAGGCATGATACATGTTCTTGTTCGTCTTAGTCTTGCTTACTTGCTAGGGGCTTGAAGTCCAAGGTGCTACTCCCTCTCTCTCGCTAGCTCTCCCTTTCTTGCACCTCTCTCTCTCTCTCTCTCTCTCTCTACCAGGCGAGAAAGAAATGGCGGACACCTTCCCCCCCTCGCGCACGAACGCGCACCTGCGGTCCACTGCAGGGTTTTGAAATCCCCCCAGTTTGACTGAGAGGGGCTCGGCTCACGCGCCCTTTGTTGTGAGTGAACAAGACGGCGAAACACAAAGTTGAGCTAAGTCTACGACAAACCTGAGGGCTGACGTATTGGGCTGAAAGAGGAGCTTCCCCCGGCTGATTACAACAGCAATAGACTGGCAAAAGGTACTCGCAAGATATGAGATACTAGGGCAAGGACCTAAGCATCGACTGGGGGAGCTCAAAAGGACTGGGCTGCAAGGCAAAACATGCACTGTCCCCCCGCTGCATTGAGCAGGTACCTGAAGTGTGTCACGGGTTTGAGCGGAAGATGAATTAAAGCAGCCTTGGCAGTTCCCTGAATTCCCCGTTGGCCCGGCGAGGCTAGGAGTATCAAGGTGCGCTAAAAAGACACGAGGATCGTGGGGGATATGGCCCTTTGCTTGGGTTGAACGGAGAGGGGCAAAGGGGCAAACAAGCCCGTAAAAAAGTTCACACCTACAACTCATCTCATCCCCCTCAGAAGGCTGCTGCACAGGACTCTTTTCGCACGGTAGTCGGCTTCAAAAAACGTCCACAGATAGACCAGAACTGCATTTGAGGAATTCATAGTCCCAACCATTCTCGGCTTCACCGCCGGCTGCTTTGTGAAGTCTCCCTTTTCTCACGGCTCTGTGCCACGTGCGCTTGGACTTGTTGCACACTTCGCCACATTGGATTGGGCACCAGAAGGGCTCGTCCCCCACCTCCATCACCGTCATGGTCACTAAGTGGTTCCCGTCTGCTTGGTGGTGGTGGGCCCCCCCCTTGGCTCATTGGGCCTTTGTGCCAGGATGCCAGAGCTCTCGTTCCGCGATCTGAACGGCGGCCTACGTCCCCCAATGGCCACTGGCTGATATGTTCTGGCTTCGGCTCTGTGTCGTCCTTGTGCTTCCGCCCCAATCGGGAGGGGTCTCGTCGTCAGTCTGTTCTCTTCTCCCATGTTGGCTTGCAACGTCACAGCGCTCTTTTGTCTCATGCTCTCCCCTTGGCAGGTTGACTATTCGCTCGTCCTCAGCTGGCTCAGCTCGGGTAACGGCCCCCCGGGTACTTGCACGTGTCGAGGCCTTCCTTGGTGTCATGGTTGCCGTATCCTGGCTGGGTCGTCTATCGTGGTTCTCTGCTTTTCCCGGATTTTTCTGCGGATTTTCCGAATTTGCTGAAGTAGCTCTCCCGCCTGGTCTGGGAAACGACCGACATAGATACGCGCCTCCTCCGCGACTTTTGGCAAGCATTTATCCACAATATGGACGTATCCTTGTCCCCCGTGCGGTTTCGCTGCAAGTGTCTGGCATGGGAAGCCTCGTAGCATTTGGCCAGCTTCTGTGAAAGCCACTTCCCCGTAGAGCCATTTCTGTATCGGACGCTGACCTCATCTTTCTGTATGTTCTGGCCTATCCATCGGTCCAGGCTTTCGGGTTCATAAAACAGAATCATCCCCCGCCTCGTCTCGAACTGCGTCATCTTCGAAAGTAGTCGTGGTGGAGGTGGTGCCGAGGTGGCTGTGGTTCCCCCCCTGCAGCAGTTACTGGCTGGTGCTTAAGCGTGAGTGGCCGAGTGGTGGACACGATGGTGGGACGATAAAGACATGATCGGTTTCACCCACTTGCTTGCCTGAACCTCTGGGCTTGCGAGTCGTCGGTACAAAAATAAAAAAAGAAAGATGGCACCAAAACAGCAGTGTAATCCCCGTTCATTGCATCGGTCTTGTTCTTTCCTAGTGTGGGTTTTTTTTCTACCCTATGGGTGAAGCGCAAACAAAAAAAGATTTGCCACATCCTTTTTCCGAAACAGAACATAGCAAAGCAAAATGGTTTGGGTTCACCGCCTCCACTAGCAAAAGAAAAGAGTATCTAGGGTTCAAGAAACATTGTCCTTTATGTTTTTTTCTTTGTGTAACAACAAATTCTCAATCCCGAGAGACGTCTGCTTGCACTTGCAAAGCACATGCGAAGGGTGTCTGGCTTTCTCAGGTTGGTTTTCAGGGTTCAGGAAAGCGTAGGCTTAAGGTTGTGTTCGAGGTTTTTTTAGGGGATTCAGGCGTGCTTTTGGGGATTGGGGTGCCCCACGACTATAGCCTTCTTGATAACCTTAATCTGTTAAGTCCCAACTCCAAAAGCCGAAGCCGCAAAGTCTTGCACCTCGACCCAACACCCCGAAGCCCAACCTCTCAATTCAAGACCCCCAGCATGGTACCTTTCAGCGCCCGCAAGCCGAAGTCGTGAACTCTCATACCCTGACACTCCTGAACCCGAAACCCGTAGGTTCCCCACACGTTGGGGTTGTCCTCGGGGACCGGCTTCTCATAGGTGCGTTCCCTACCGCTGTCGACCCGTGTAAGCGGCACTCTGGGTCTGCTCTCTCATGTGCTTTTCTGTACCCGGTGGTACAGACCCCTCCCCCGTATCTGCAAAGTTTACACTGCTTTTCCATCCCCCCTGTAGTTCGGCCTTCATTATGTCGCCGTTCCTGCCCAAGTCACGAACTTTGAGAGCACAAGTACTTGGTGATCGGCGCGTTGACAAAGTCAAGGAAGCGGTTGGTGGAGAAGGACGTTCCCTTTTCCGACTTGGTGTCCAAGGGGAAGTTCCTGCAGTATTCAGGTCGCTTTCAAGGAGTTAATGGTTCGGACTTGCCCTTCACGGGTATTGCTCAAGTCTACAGACCTGTGTCGGGCCTTTGAAGCAAAGTGGCGACGGGTATGGGGCTCAAGCCCTCCCCCACTCAGGGGAACGTCCACCCAATGGGAATGCTGGGAACAACCAGCAAACCCAGAGGGCCGTCCTCGAATGCCCCCCCGAAGGGAAGCGGCGGGTTGATTTGAGCCAAAATGACTGCATCTCTCTCTTTTTTTTCGGCAGGGTTATGGGCAAGGGGAGGGATCCCCCCTTGCATCTCTCTCTCTCGCTCTCTCTCCTGTTCTCGGGGGCGTAGGGGACCAGTTAAGTTCCCCGAGCCGAATGGCTCATCCCTGTTGTTGGGCCTTCTGGGGAGACGTGAAAGAAACAACTACCATCCCTAGAGAAAGGAGGGTTACAAGCAAGTTTGAAGAGCGGAACATATGTTTCTGTTTGCTTTGCCCTCTCTCTCCCTCTGTCTGATCGACGGAAGCGGTGCTGGGGATTGTTCAAGGATATCACTGGATCTGACTCAGGCTCGCTTCAGCGCGCGCGCGACGATCCGCTGCCGCCAAGAGTCCGCACCAAGGCCAGCCGGAGTCGAGGGCCTGGAGCTGAGGAAAAAACACGGGACAAAAAAAAACTACACCCAGGGATGCATGAGGCGATGGCACATGCAGCCCTCTATGCATCTGTGCGAGCCATCGACTTGTAACTGCTATCATCGGGCATGAAGGCAGGGTGTGTGTGTGTGTGTTGTGTGTGTTGTGTGTGTTGTGTGTGTTGTGTGTGTTGTGTGTGTGTGTGTTGGCGTGTGTTGGTGTGTGTTGGTGTGTGT